GAAGAAGAGCCTGATCTTCATTTTAGCGCGCCCCCACACACATAACTTGTGCCATGTAGCACAGTAGTCGATACCACACTAGCGGGCCGTACCCCCGCTTTCTTGTATGGCTGCCCTTGTCTGCTGTAGCCTTTTGCCCTGCGTGACCCTTGCGGGGTGTATTTCGGCCCCCGTTTATCTGTGTGTCGGTACGGCATGTTGGTGTTCTGCTTCTCGCGACATGGTACTGCTTTTGTTGGGTTGCGCGGTGTAAGCGCGTATCGATAAGGCTTTTGACATGACCAGGGGATGCACCGGGTATGGGAATGATAGAACGACTGCCCGTTCATCGCGTTTGGGGACCTTGTGGAGTCCTGGTAATACTAGATAGATGTATGCGGCAACATCGTTCGGGTTGAGGTGTACAGGTGATACGAGAAGGCAATGGAATGAAGGAATAGAGACAAATGCAACAAAAATTGAAGTCGATTCTTAGCTGGCACTGGATGTGGTTTAGAACAGCTTCAGAGCGCTTCTTCCTGGAACTAGAGACAAAAGGAAAAATGGTTAGCAGTCCCAGAGAGCAAAATAAACATATGTCTTCAGTATAGAAGAATCATAGCTACTGTTAGAGGGCTGAAGGGGAAACTAGCATCCAAGAGATCGTGCCAAGGTGCTAGGCTGACATAAGTAGAGAAGCTGTTCGTACCCTGTCATCACTAGCGCATTGCGGCGAGATGCAAACTCAGACACGTGACTGTGGCTGGCTTCGGTCGATGGTTCCGGGGATGTCGCGTTGGCTCAAGTCCAAGGTATTGTTTCAATTACCAATTCTGGCATTCAGTCTTCTCGCAATGTCATTTGCGATATAGAAAAGCTGTTCTATATTCAGGGCTTACTGTTCGCTGCACAGAGGGACTTGGATGCAGGAACGGGATGATTGGTGCGGAACGTGGGATAAGCCGGTATCTGATGTCAGCAAGAGCATCATCGTAACTTCAACGACGTCCTTTGTAGTCTTGCATATCATGCTTGAGAGAAGAGAAAGAATTAGAGGAAAATTTGTGCGCGAAGCCATGGTAATGACTCCGTGCCTCCAACGAGCTCTGTTGACTGATGGGTACTAGGGCGAGTCGTATGGGCGAGTTTAGCGGACCAGAGTCAAGTGATGGTCTCTTCCAAACGCGACTTTGATGCGCATTTAATGTTGGGTTGCTTGCTGCGGCAATGCGCCCCTGATCAATTGCTGGCCTCATTAACAGTCGAGACTGGGTGACTAGAGCATGGCCAATAGGCGATAACCCTTGTTATCAGCCCAAGGGCAACATTCGTCTACCCAATGCAGATGCCCCAAACCAATCCTTTGCCGAGTTTGTATTGATTTGTAGCGGGACGGTCGTCATTTGGTTTTTGCAAAAAAAACAAGGTGTACGCAAGGACGGACGAGGATTGCACCATGGGCCAGAAACGTCGTAAAGAGCGTCGTGAGATGTGTGACTTGTTCACATTGTGGCAGACGTGGTTTCCCTAACAACAATGTGGCGGGACTCGAGTGGATTGGTAGGCAAGCATCGAACAAGAGCCGATGAAGGTCAGAAGCAGAAGTTGGAAGAGCTTCGGCAAGGCGCGATAAGGGCAAGAAACGCGATTTTGGTAGCAACGGCTTGGCGTTGTTTCCAGAATCCAGAGAGCCCCAAGGAAGGCTCGGCCGCCCCTGCGCCAGCAAGCATTCTATCGACGTTTGTCCGGAAATAAATGGAGACGGCCGCAGGGGAGGTGGCCTATCAGGTCTGCGGCGTGAGTGTGGGGAGGGATGGACCGACTGTTCTGCGAGCGGTTGGAAGATGCAGAGGACAGTGACTTTGGATCTACCTTCCTATCTGATGAAAACGCGCTCCGATAATCCAGGCGGCGAACACCAGGCGTCCCCTAGGGCGCTTGTTTATCCGGCAGGCCGATTGCTTGGGGCTCCTTGGCAAACACCAGTCGGCCTTGGGACGCTTAACACCTGCTCAATGCGGAAGCTCGAATGCGAACATCAATTAGACCAAGATGCGCGTCGACACTACATAAACAACACAGTACTGCCATCTTGCACACCACGGTCGATTTGGCGCTTTCGTCTCGTCTTGTTGCACGACAAGTTGTTCACACGACCAAGTGGTGCGACGACGTCATCCGTGCGCCCTGGGCTGCTGCGTGGGCCTGCATTCACTGACCTTCTTGGTTGAAAGGTTCTGGGGCCTGACCTCCCATTTCTCCTCATCATGCGTTCATTCACTCTCCTCGCAGCCGTCTTGCCGCTGATCCAGGCCATTGAGCCTCCCCGCCAGCCACACCAGCCTCTTGGCAACGGTTCCAAGCGCCTTTCCTACAACGAGACCACCGCCAGCCCTGGCTCCTTGTCTGCCAGCTCCCGTTCATTCAGCTGGGTCGGAACTGGCAAAGATGGCGACTACATCTACCCAGCCGCTTCTGGAGACCTTGTTTTCGAGAACGTCGCGACGGGCGAATCATCCACCTTCATCTCGGCAGACAAGATCCCGGAAAACTACTGGGACTTCTCCATCTCGCCCGATGCTAGCAAAGTCCTGTGGGCTGTCAACTACACCAAGCAGTACCGCTACTCCTACTTTGCCGACTACCTGATCATGGACGTCGCAACTGGCGAGTCTGTGCCTCTGGACCCCGAGCAAGTCGGCGACATTCAGTATGCCGAATGGAGCCCCGTTTCCTCGTCTCAAGTTGCCTTCGTCAAGGGAAACAACTTGTATGTCAGCACAAATGGCACAATTGCTCAAATCACCGACAACGGTGGCCCAGACTACTTCAACGCCGTCCCCGACTGGGTTTACGAGGAAGAGATCTTTGGCGACCGCTACACCCTGTGGTACTCTCCCGATGGCACTAGGATTGCTTTCCTGAGCTTCAATGAGACCGGAGTGGGCACATTCAGAATCCCATACTACATCGACAACGACTCAGAATTCGTGCCCGTATACCCCAACGAGCTTGAGCTACGCTACCCCAAGGTCGGCACCAAGAACCCCACTGTCGTTCTGAACATGCTCGAGGTTGAGTCCGGACAAGTCTCAAACATCCCAATCGATGCTTTCCCCGAGGATGATCTCGTCATCGGTGAAGTCGCCTGGCTGACCGAGGGCCATAGCAAGGTCATTTACCGTGCCTACAACCGTGTCCAAGATCTGGAGAAGCTAGTGACCGTTGATGTCGAGGCCGGCTCGTCCAAGGTCACCCGTGAGCGTGACGGCACCGATGGATGGCTCGAGAACTTGATGCAGATCCGGTACATCGGCGCTCTTGAGGCTGGAAATGTCACTTCCGGCAACTCTTCCGAGTTCTACCTTGATATTTCTGACCAGAGTGGTTGGGCGCACATCTATCTCTTCCCAATCTCTGGCGGAGAGCCAATTGCACTTACTTCTGGCGAGTGGGAGGTTCTTTCCATCCTCAAGGTTGATTACAAGCGTGGCCTGGTCTACTACACTTCCACCGAACACCACAGCACCGAGTCTCACGTGTACTCCGTCACCTTCTCTGGAAAAAAGACTGCCCTTGTCAACGACAAGGAGGCTGCTTTCTGGACTGGCTCTTTCTCGTCCGGCGGCTCTTACTACGTCCTCCGATATGCTGGCCCCGACGTTCCATACCAAGAACTGTACTCGCTCAACTCGAGCCAGCCCATCCGCACCATTGTCAACAACAGCGCACTGTACAACAAGCTCCAGCAATACAACCTGCCCAATATTACGTACTTGGACCTGGAGCACCCATCAGGCTACACACTCGATGCCATGCTTCGTCTCCCACCCAATTTTGACCCCAGCAAGAAGTACCCTCTCATCCTCATCCCATACGGTGGACCCAACGCCAAGGAAGTGCACAAGCAGTTCAGCGCCCTGAACTGGAAGGCCTACGTTGCCTCTGACCCAGAGCTTGAGTACATCACTCTTACGGTTGATAACCGCGGTACTGGCCGCAAGGGCCGTGCCTTCCGCTCCACCGTAGCGTCCAACCTAGGCCAACTTGAGGCCGAAGACCAGATCTGGGCAGCTAAGGAACTCGCAAAGAACTCTTGGGTTGACAGCGAGCACATTGGTATCTGGGGCTGGTCTTACGGTGGCTACCTGTCCTCCAAGGTTGTCGAAGTCGGCGACCCAATCATCAGCTACGCCATGATCACCGCTCCCGTCAGCGACTGGCGCTTCTACGACTCCCTCTACACTGAGCGCTACATGAAGACTCCTGACATCAACCCCGACGGATACAACCGCAGCCGCGTCCACGATGCCACGGGCTTCAAGAAGATTGCGGGTGGTGTCGTAATCCAGCACGGTACCGGTGATGACAACGTCCACTTCCAGAACGCCGCCGCCCTTGTCGACCTCCTCATGGTCAACATGGTCAGCCCCGAGAAGATGCAAAACACTTACTTTACCGACTCGGACCACAGCATCAACTTCAACAACAACGGCAAGTTCCTGTATAAGCAGCTGAGCAAGAAGCTGTTTGAGGAGAAGAACAGGAAGGGAGATAGCAAGGGCAACCACCAGTGGAGCAAGAGGGGTGCCTCGGCCACCAAGTGGACCGCTTAAAGCATATTTGTAACCAATTGTGTATAATTCCTAAAGACCGAAAATCTTGTAAAAAAACGAAAGTTAATCCCTGAGTCTAATAAAAGGAAAAATCATGTCCATTACTGTCTTCTTCTCCAACAACTGAAGTCCGTGCTTTCATGTTCTCCTTCAATGTTAATGCCATATCTCTCTCGCTTCTTGACCTTTTCTCGCGATTCCTAACCCCAACCCCAACCCCCTTCTCACATCGCCGCCCTCTCCCTACACTTGCCGCACTTCCACTCAAACCGCACCATGACGCCCTTCCAATCCCCGTCTTCGCCCACGCTATCCAGCTGATTCAGTGCCGTTCCGCATGCACTCGCTAGATCGTGGTACACGTGCTGCTTGAGTGCCATGTACATGTGCGTGTACGAGATGCGGGCTGCTTTGAGGAGGTGGATGCATTCGTCGTGGGAGACAAGGGGGAGGTTGGTCAGCGGGTTTGTGGGTGTAATCGTGATTGTGGGAGGGGGGAGAGGAAGGGTGGGTTGGGAGGTAGTGAAGAATTTGGATTGTGGTGGGGGTTTGGTGCGGTTGCTGAGCCAGGACATGCTCGGGTTGGCTTGGCTTGGCTTGTGGGTTGTGGAGTGTTCGGGCAAGGGACAGAGAGAGAATTGAGAGAAAGGGAAAGGGTGGTTGCTTTTTAGGTAGATGCTTGTTTGTCTTTGTCTACTATTTGGAAGCATCATGTTGTTTCCCGGGCGCTTGTTGTTCGTCTGTGCTTGTGTGGGTGAATGATAGAAGTGTTTTTGGAATGTCTCTACATTCTGGCGGTTGTTTATGTTTCCGAGTTTGTTCGCTGATTGTATGCTGCCAATCAATTGTCTCACTGGTGATTTTGATAAGCCACATTTACGATGCTTCTGTTGTGTTCTTCGGGTTTGGTTTGGTGTTTCTTCGATGTTCTAGATTTACGATGCAAACTTAACCTTAGATAGGAAAGTTGAAACACGCATGATCAAAAGTTGAGATTGAGTACCGCTGAAAAATTTCGTGATGCAACATCATCAGTCGGGATTGGAAAGACTGATATGAGGATATCAGCTGTGAAAGTGGTCTTGATTGACAGACCCTGTGTGACTGTCGCAGAGCACTCCTTGCACAAACTGTCGACTCGATGGTGTTGAATGCATCCTTAAACAGTTAGGCCGGAGGAGGAGACGTGAGCCTAGTACAACTCAGGCAGCTGAGTTAACAGCGTCTCCTCGTCCAGTTGCTGCTTCTCCAGTCCAGCAGCTAGTGACACCACCGTCTGCCGAGCCTGCAACTGACTACCTGGTTTCTTTGACTTTCGAAGGTAAGTTCTGAACCCACCTGCCACTCTGTATCCTCATTTCACTCGTGTATGGAGAATTCGCGCTGACCTGGGCTTTGTCATCGGCTCTTTTTAGATCAAAATCATCAATCAGATTCTCAAGACGGGGAAGAGGACAGTCAAGACGATATATATGTCGAAATCCACCATCTTGGAGGCAGTCAATTGCCTCCAGAACATGAAATGTGGTCTTCAGCCCAATCCAACCGGCATTCAACCAACGCTCGAATCTCATCACAAAGAATTGGGAGGAGATCACAAGGCAACGCCAACAGACAAAATTCTTCCAACCGACCTTCAGGTGAACGACTCGAGAATGACGTGAACACGCCCTTGCCTCCTTATATTAGACGCCCTCCGCGCCACATTCGTGAAAGGGACGTGCAATATTTCACCGAGAAAGATGCACTCACGATCCCAGACGACGAATTCCGGGATGAATTGCTCGGGACTTACGTAAAAATCATACATACCTTTATGCCTGCGCTCGACTTTGACAAATTCGTCATGCTTGTAATAAAATCGGATGGTTCAGAACCCGTCAGTCTGCTCCTATTTCAAGCTGTCATGTTTGCAAGCGTCATCTTTGTTAATTCCGAAATCCTTCGCCCACGCAGATTCTCCAGCAGGAAGGCGGCAAGGAAAGTGTTTTTCAGCCGTGTCCGCATACTTTATGGCCTGGATTGTGAGCCGGATCCTTTGACACTAGTCCAGGCTCTGCTTCTTATGACCTACTGGTACGACTCGCCAGATGACGAAAAGGACACTTGGTATTGGATGGGAATCGCTTTATCCCTCACACAAGTACTTGGCCTACACAGAGATCCAGAAACTTCAAATCTTTCTCCACAAGAAAAGCGGTCACAACAGAGGATCTGGTGGTCGTGCTATATTCGAGATCGGGCGCTTGCCCTGGGTATTCGTCGTCCTGCCCGGATCCGCGAGGCAGAATACCTAGTTTCCATGCTAAAGCTCCATGATTTTGATATGGTCCAGCATTCGCCAGAGCTTTTAGGTTTTTTCAAAGCTTGCGGCTTCACAACTGTTGAGGAAGATAGGAGCGAGGTTATATGTCAGATATGCATCGAGCTCGCGAAGCTCTGTGCCTGCATTGGCGAGATCCTACATACCCGATACTCGGTCATTAGCAGGGAACCGATCAACTACGAATCTTGTAAAAACATTGCAGTCTTGCCTAGAGATTCGAACCAGCAGATGCTGGATTTGACCAGATGTGATTCCATGCTCGAGGAGTGGAACATGAATCAGAAGGCTACTTCTTAGTACTCTCCGCCGACACAATCATCGCTAGCAAGCGTAGCGGGAAATGATTGGGACAATTGGGTAAAGAAACTGATTTGGCTGCACCAGGCGCTACTTCGCATGACGTATCTTTCAGCTATTGGAGCACTTCATCGACTACGAGCACTGACTTCCCTGTCCTCGCCATCGGTTTCGAGTCCAGGGTTGGTGGACATGATTGCTGCTAAGAAGGCGTCGATGCGCAAGGTTAGAGAAACGGCAGTATCGATGACGAATCTAGCCTTCGATCTGCAGTCTAAAAAATTTCTTCGCTATTTCTCAACAAGTAGTGTGCCAGCGTTCTTGTCTGCAACGCTTATACATCTTCTTGACGTTGTTGTTCGGCCGAACCAGTAGAAGTCTATGCCTCTGTGACATTATCACACACCACATTAAAAGTTGGTGCCGTCTTCGAAGTCCTCTAGGAAGCGAATGGCGTGTTTACTATAACTTTAGTATAACTCAGCTTGCTTTTCCCCGCAGTTGGCTAGAGTTCATAATCCATCTACATGTGAACAGATTAGTACTGCTGCAGTAGCCGAGGGTATTCAGTATTTACAGTATACGGCTTTAGTTCCTCAGCGTTTCTTACAATGCCAGCAACAACATCATGTTATATCAACATTAGAACCAACATAGGAACCCTTGTAGTAGCCTAGTCACATAAACGGAAAGGAAAGTAGCCCTAGCCTTCATTCAATCACAATAAGCTGTGCAATCGTAGACGACCAGCCTACGTTACAATGAGCTATAGGAATTTGCGGGTATCAGTTGGCCTCCACTTGAAACTATCAGTTATTGGAATTAGGATTAGACACTATTACCTTAAAAGACCGGCGATACGGGGTTTATTAACAAAGTAGCATCGGTTGCAGAGTACCCTCAGCCGCGACCGTCATATTCAGATCATGGAAGTTAGACCACGAGATGGTCTCCAGAACATCAAGCAGTTGGTGCCCCAGGAAGTCAAGACCAAGTTGATCCAGCGTCTCGCAGGAACTTGGTTGCAGGAAATCGAGGCAACATCGTTCGTTTCACCCAAATAGGTGCCTCAGCTCGCAGATGGACAGACCATTCTTCCAGATGCGCTGCAACTTGCAAAGTCAAGAAAGGTGTCCAGGTCTCATTCCATTTCCCCGTTCTCGCCCCGAACATGAAAGGCTTGGTAAATGCAAGGGCTGCCAGTGCCGATGAGATTGTGGTTTTTGAGTCCGTCACCGAGGCGTTCAGTAAGGCAAATCAAAATTGCACGGTAAACGAGGTTATCTATTAGGCCAGAATTCTAATCAAGGAAGCACTTGCCTTTGGTATTAAAGTCAGGAGGTAAGCTCGTGCCAATGTCTCACTTAGCACCCTTTAGAAGAGTGGAGATGAACTATGAGTTGGATATTGACCATATGACAGTGTCATTTCCTGTATTTTCTCAGGCCCATTCTCGGGACCTACGGTCCCTAAAGATGTCATGAAAGTAGTGCAACAATTCATCGACATGGGATGCTACGAGGCCGGACTTGGAGATGCCCTTGGTATTGGAACACTTAAGAACACACAGAGTTTACTTGAAGTCCTTCTCCAAGGCGTTCCTGCGGGTAGACTTGCCGGTCATTTTCACACATATGGGCCAAGTCATTAAAACCTGCCAGATTGCAACGCAATTAGCAACGATACTTATTATACAGGAGAATAAGAAGCTACGTGCAGAAAATTAGCGCCAACGACGAAAGGAGGAGCAGAAGCGTCAATACATTGCTTCTATTAGGGTGCTCTAGGCACAAAAGGCTCAGTAGATAGCTGCAGAGGCAGAAAGGGTAGTCATGGGGGTGATCAGAACCAGGCTAGTGAGCGATGCCAGCACGCAGCGCCAACGTGCACAAAGTGCCACGTTTAAGGGCATACTTAGACTTTATGCAGAGGTAGATAAAGAACAACATCTCTTATTTCTATCTGATATTATTACGTTATTGTAGAGTAATTGCGCAGAGTGTCGCGTCAAGTTCAGCAGGGTGATCCAATGACTGTTGGAACACGTTAAGGGGGTATAAAAGAGTAGCGAATAAGCGGTAATTATAGCAAGCTCCCTAAGCGGGGAATTGGTTGAGGGAATTTCTATAAAACTCTCGGGGGGGCTTAGCCAAGATTAGGGGATTTTACTAAGGGTTTTCATACGGAGGGGGAGAGAGAGGGGGAAGTTCGTCCAAGTAAGGAAGAAATAAAATATATTAAAGAGAGTGTTTAGAAGTTGCGGCTACATAGAAACAAGCTCAATATGTGGACAAGTGCTACGCTAACCCTACTGCCTACCAAAGCAGGTCGAGTCGCCAGCACCATTCTGCAAACACTCATTGTAGAAAGCTTTTCCATCAACAAAGCCAGACTTTGCGTAAACCTATAATACAAGTAAGTCATAAGCTAAGGATCCTAACAGAGTTGCTTACATAATATCCAGTAAAGCGAGCGCCCCACTCGCCGCGCTGAGTCTCTCGAACATCTGCTTAGTGTAAGTTTCAACTTCATGCTGTTCAATATTTTGCATAGACAAACCCAATTTCCATCTGTAATCATTGAAGCCAACGACACGAGAAGTAGTGAAACTGTCAATGCCAGAATTAGAGGAGACCTGGCACGCGCAGTGCGTGTACTGGTCGCGTTTATCAAGTTCGCGGGCCTCGACTTCAGCCCCAACTGGGATGGAAGCTACCTCTCCAACCCTAGAACAGACGTCAGAAAGATTCTGCAGATTCCTTTTATGAGTTGGGCTCACTGAGAGATGCAAGCCATAGCAAGAGCAAGGGCAGAGATAGAGAACTGCATTTTGAAGCAAATTGACTTGGAGGATTGTGGATAGAGAGAATGTAGAAGATGAAAGTTGAAGTCTGTAGTGATGCTTCTACATGAAGGAATTTGAACCCTTCTTATATACCTTTCAAATCTCTGAGATTATATAGTTGGTGAATAGAGCTCTGTAGCCATCTCGCTCTTTCAGACATCACCTGTCTCTCGTCCGTAGGGATCTCACTATGCGACGGTAGTTTTTCGGGGCGTTAGATACGACATGTCTCATTAGTGTGTGTTCGTATAGATTCAAAATCAGTATAAGATCTGTGCATATGGCGTGTTCCAATCGCGTCATGCTAGTGAGTGGAGCGATTAGTGTGTAGGCAGACCACCCGGCCCTGACCTCTGCCCAGACATATCCTGCCAAGAGGTCTGCCAAGTCTCGCTTGATTTTAGCATGTTTTTAGTGAGTGGTCAGACCTCTTGGCAGACCTCTTGGCAGGATATGTCTGGGCAGAGGTCAGGGCCGGGTGGTCTGCAACCTGGCGATTAGTAAGACCTAGTTAACACTATCTCCACTAAGACGACTAACTAGTTAACCATATTCTTCTTCACCAAATAATTGAGCGTGACTTAGGTCCACAACAATCACCCTTCCCATTCTAAATCAGGACAGGATTTACTAAATGAAGATGAGTTTCTCGCGAGACTTTCTATATTGTAGCTACAAGTGAAAAAGTAGGGCCTACTCTAATATATTCTCGCAAGTACAACACGATTGTTGACGTAAAAATCTCTCTTCATAGTTGATAGAAGGACCGAAGCTTTTGATTGCTTTAGCTGTTCAGTTCAGAGATATATTTCCTTGGTATCAGTAGAAACATATATAAACATCACTTTACATGCACTTAGTATTTCTCATCAAGCTCATTCCACCTATTTTATATATTTTCACATCCACATAATCTTATTCAATACCGAATACTCATCTCCCTTCAACAAAATGGTTTCTGCCAAATTCCTCGCTCTTGCCTTGGGCGTTGCCCTTGGTGCTCAAGCCAGCGACAGCCCTTCTGTCGACGCCAATGTCATGGCTGGAAACATTGCTAGCGCAGACATCAATGCATTTTGGGATACCACTTGGCCAAAAATGCAGAAACATCTTCCCGGCATTGAGTGCTCAATCGGTGGACACGCCGAAGGAAAGAACGCATCCGATTCCTGCAAGGAGATTGAGGCTAGCCTCGTCCCTGTGTTTCCCGGCATTCATTGCACTGGCAATCTCGACGAAGTGGCACTGAAAGCAAGCAGCAAGGCCCCTGTCACTGTTCTGCGCCGTGATTCTGCGCTCGAGCGCCGCAGTCGTGAGCTCGAGGAAGCTGCTGAGAGAGAAGAGCAGAAAATCGATCAACAGATTGATCAGAAGAAACGGTCAATACTTCTCTCGTGTGCTGATGCTCCTCACCCTGGCAACTGCTACACTTGTGTTGCAGCTGGTGCAACTCAAGCCCTTACAAGTGGAGCAAAGTGTGTCCTCGCATTCAAAGTCGCAATGGATGCGCTTGCGCGCGGTGAGCCTCAGCCAGGCGGTGAGAACAACGGCAAGCTTTGGACTGGTTATGGTGTCTGCCTTGCTAGCGCCATCGGAGATATGGGGGCTGCGGTCTCTGGTTGCCCTCTCCGAGTAAGTACCAAATACATAATACTTGCTCTGAACAAATGCTAATTATTATCTAGTAAATGAAGAGACATGTCTGTCCAGAGTTGCTAGAGGCATCGGTTCTAGTGCGGCTAGTGGAAAGCGGTGGCTTGTGTAGTTGTTAGGCGATTTCGTCGATTGGATCTGTAGTAGTCAGCGAATGAAGGAAAAGAGTAATCTAAATTTCTATAGACTAATCAATTCTTAATATGGGTGGATTTTTTGTTTTACTTTGAAAATTGAACAAGGCTCTACCTGGCACATAGCTCAGACAAACAATAGCCATGTCTCGATATTCTTTCACACTTGCAAACTTCATCCATTGTGTTGTAGTAGCACGTGACTAGCCTGTCAGTTTATATTAGTATCTCTTTTTTTAGATTAGGTAGACAGCTGTTTCACTCAATTCAATACTAGTTGTTGCTATTCAGCTACTTGTTTGCGGGTAGCCCGCCAGTCTACTCGACTTCGACCACGTATCGTACTACACCATTATCATACGCAAAATGCTCAAGATTACTATATAATACTCTGTTCTAATGTCTATAATTCTATTTACTACTTTATTCTAGCTATAAAGCTAAGTGCAGCTCCTTTCGACTTAGAACTTGTAAGGGGCGCGACCCCGTAGGGTAGTCTTAAGCTTGGAAGCACAATCGGACAGATCAAGGAAACAAGATTGTATTCGATAGAGAGGTAAGCTCTCTGCTACGTGGCTACTATCTATAGGGTAAGGTACTGCTGACCTTGGGCCTTCTCCTTCATAGAGAGTCGTCCGCGCCTGTGGTAGTACCAAGTGTGATACGGAATAGCATCATCCTACAATTAGGAAGTCTAAGTTACTAGTGCATTATATACAATAGTTTATATTAAAATTTGCCTTAATTAGGCTATATTTACGATCGTGGTGTTGTGAATACTGCTACTAAGGTACGCTGGTAAATGGGTACCCCCCTACACTGGTATTATGTAGGGTAGGGTTATTGATTACTAT